TTTGTTATTTTTATTTTTTTATGCGTATGTGTGTATTGCCTGCATGTAGATAAGTGCACCTGTATCGTGCAATGCCGGCGGAGGTCAGTAGAGGCTATTGGATCCCCTGGGACTGCAGTTAAGGACAGTTGTTAGCTGCCATGTGGGTGCTGGGATTCGAACCAGGGTCTTCTGCAAGAACAACCAGTTTTCTTAACTGCTGAGCCATCTCTCCAGCCCTAAAATTTATTTATTATTTTTATTTTATGTGTATGAGTGTATTGCCTGCATGTATGTAAGTGTACCTATGTCATACAGTGTCCACAGAGGTCAGAAGAGGGCATTGGATACCCTGGAACTGGAGTTACAGATGGTTGTTAGCTGCCATGTGGGTGCTGGGACCCAAACCCAGGTTCTGCAAAAACGGTGTTCTTAACTGATGAGCCATCTCTCCAGCCTCATGAATTTTGTGACTCTGAAACTATTCATAATTTAGATTAATGAACTAGGAAGCATTACTGCTCTAGAAATACACAGTAGGATGCTGTGTACTTATCCCTTAACTTCATAATTTATGAACTCATAGTTCCCAGCCCCCTCAAGTGTTTTGAAGCAAATCTAGATGTTATTATTTCATCATTAAACTACTTAGGCACTTCACAAGACAAATTTACTCTTTGTAACTAATTTGTGCTGGAAAAGAGCTTGTTCTAATTGCCTTAGCTTTAAAAGATGAGTGGTTTTATTTGGATAAATGGAGTGAGTAAATAAAATTATCTTTTATTTTGCTATGCAGGACTCCAGATCTTACATAAAATGTTCACTATTAAGGAACTTTAAGCAGACAATCTATTCAGTAAAATCTCAGCTGCCATGGAAGAAATACCAGTAAAAGTTGCTGTAAGAATTAGACCTCTGCTTTGCAAAGAAGTTCTTCATAACCATCAAGTTTGTGTGAGAGATATTCCAAACACCCAGCAAATTATCATTGGGAGAGATAGAATTTTTACTTTTGATTTTGTTTTTGGCAAAAATTCCACTCAAGATGAAGTTTATAATGCATGTATAAAGCCCCTAGTGTTGTCACTCATTGAGGGCTATAATGCAACTGTTTTTGCCTATGGACAGACTGGATCTGGGAAGACATACACCATTGGAGGAGGCCATGTTGGTAAGGTTCTCAAACTTTGACTTTTATTTGAGACAATAGAAAGATGTTAAATTATGTTAATAATGAGTATATTGATTGAATAGTGTATGAATAAGATATTAAAATTGTCACAAGGTCTTTAACTTTGAAAGATTTTCTTTCTCTCTCTCTGTCTCCTGTCTCTGTCTCTCTCTCTCTCTGTCTCTCTGTCTCTCTCTCTCTCTCTCTGTGTGTGTACCCATGTGTGCATGGAAGCCAGAGGAGGACATTCAGTGTCCTCTTGCCTTGTATCAGTTACTTTTTGTTACTGATAAAACACCATGACCAAGGTAACTTATAGAAGGAAGAGTTCATTTGGGCTTACGATTCCAGAGGGATATGAGTCTATTATGGAAGGAGACCTGGGAGGAAGCAGCCCTTACATCTTCGAGCCTGCCATAGCAGAGAGAAGCAACTGGAAGTGGGGCAAGGTTATGAATTCTTCAAAGCTGCCCCCAATAACTTGCTTCCTTCAACAAGGCCATGCGGCCCCACATGTTGGGGACCATATACCAGGTGTCCAAATGCATGAGCCTGTAGGGGACACTATTCATGGGAACCACCACACTCCCTCACTTGTTTTGTTTTTTTTAAAACCTGAATGTTGGGGATTTGAACTTAAATCCTTTTGCTTGTTCAACAAATGCTCTTACCCACTGAGTCATCTTTCCCTAGGCCCACAATATTTTTTAAAGCTTTATTTATTTTTTAAAAAAATTTTATTTTGGCCGGGCGTAGTGGTGCACTCCTTTAATCCCAGCACCCAGGATGCAGAGACTGGCAGATCTCTGTGAGTTCAAGGCCAGCCTGGTCTACATAGTTCCAGGCCAGCTGTAGCTACAGAGAGACCCTGTCTCAAAAAGACCAAAAATTTTTTTTTTAATTTTATGTGTATGAGTGTTATGCTTGAATATATTTAAGTGCACCCATGTTGTGTGATGCCCGCAGAAGACAGGTGAGTGCGTCAGATCCTCTGGAACTAGAGTTACAATTGTTAGCTGCCATGTGGGTGCTGGGATTTGAACCCATGTCTTTCTGCAAGAGCTGCCAGTGCTTTTAACCTCTGTACCATCTTTCCAGTTCCCAAGATTTTATGTGTGAGTGTTTTGCCTGCAAACATGTGTACTATGTGCATGCCTGGTACCCACAGAAGCCAGAAAGAAGATGGTATCAGATCCCCTGGAACTGGAGTTACAGACAATTATGAGATACCATGTAGGTTCTGGGAACTGAATCCAGATCCTTTGCAAGAGCAGCAAGTGTTCTTAGCTGCTGAACCATCTCTCCAGCTCCTCATGATTTGTTTTTAAATGTTGAAATTTCATTAAATTTATGATTATATTTTCTTGAGGAAAGAAGTTTAAGGCAATGTAAAATCTTGTTATTTTGTTCAGAATTTATTTTTTATTTAATTAAAAATTACATTTATTCTTGTTTGGGCATATTCCATAGCACATGCATGTGCAGGCCAGAGGACACCTTGCAGGAGTTGGTTCTCGTCTTCCCCCATGTGAGTCACGTGGTGGTCAGGCTTGTTGGCAAGTGCCTTTTACTCACTGAGCCATATCTATGGCCCTAGACAGAATTAAAATGCATAAGTGAATTAACATGGTCAGCTTTGTGTCCTTAAATAAGCCAGTAATAAATATTAAGAGTTCTGGGGCTGGAGAGATGGCTTAGCAGTTAAGAACACTGGTTGTTCTTGCAGAAGACCCGGGTTCGAATCCCAGCACCCACAGGGCAGCTAACTGTCCGTAACTCCGGTTCCAGAGGGTCTGACGCCCTCACCTGTCTTCTGTGGGCATCACACAACATGGGTGCACTTAAATATATGCAGGCATAACACTCATACACATAAAATAAAAATAATAAAATATTTATAAAAAAATAAATATTAAGAGTTCCAATGCCAGGATTTAGGAGGAATGTATATGTTGTTTCCAGTGCCCTCCCACCACCCATTTTCTAGCTATGTCCCTCTCTCTTGATAGGTTCTTATCGTATAGCCCAGGTTGTCTTCAAATTCTCAGTCCTCCTGTCTTGGCCTTCCAAGTGCTAGGATTACAGGTGTGACTCACCATACTCCTCTCACAGATTGCATTTCATTTTATGTGACTCACCATACTCCTCTCACAGATTGCATTTCATTTTATATTTATGTATTTATTTTGTATATGTCTGTATGTTATTTTTACTTTATTTTATATTTTGTGTTTAATGTGTGCACGTATACATGTAAATGCATGTGCATCATATTTGGGGCCAGAGACTGATGTTCAGTCCTCCTCAGTCATTTTTACCTTATCTTTTTGAGACAGGGTCTCTCACTGACCCTGGTGCATACAAGTTCTGGCCAGCTAGCTCTAGCAGTTCACATGACTCTGCCCACTCCCTCAATGGTGGAGTTACTGGCATGTGCTGCTATGCCCAGCTTTTCATGTGGGTGCTGGTGATCTGAACTCAGGTCCTTATGCTTGTGCTGGAGGCACTTTACCAACTGAGGCAATCTCTCCAGCCCCCAGCTCTCAGATTTCTCTCACTTCTGTCACACAAGAGTTCAGTTTGTTTCTAGTAAAAAGATTTTTTTTTTTTTGAAGCTGGGTGTGGTGGCGCATGCCTTTAGTCCCGGCACTCAGGAGACAGAGGTAGGTGGATCTCTGTGAGTTCAAGGCCAACCTGGTCTACATAAGGAGTTCCAGGCCAGCTGGGGCTACAGGGAGACCCTGTCTCAAAAAAAAATTTTTTTTTTTTTGCTTTTGTTTGTTTTCAGATTGTGATAGGTAGAGAGCGGGAGAGAGTGAGCGGTGGAGAGCACGAGCTGATGGATGAGGCACCGAGGCACAGATGGAATTCTCAGCGGGATACAGATTTATTTCACATGGGGCACCTTTCCCTCAGGGAAGGGAAAGATGTCAGGGAAGGGAAAGATGTC